TCACCATCACTGATTTCATGACATTGTGAAAATCATGCATTGTCATTCAGCAGTAACAACTACCCAAGATTTTGTATTCGCAGACCTTGAATAGCATTTGACCATGCCAACGGTATTAGATGACAATGCTAGCAGTTTGTCCTGACCGTTTGAACTGGCAGGACAGGTAAAAGCTTCATGTCCTTGCTGATATGCTGAATTTCTGAGATCATGTTTAGCTTGAAATGTATCTTAAGAACTGAAGCGAATGGAATACTTTTGAAATAACTTAGCAGACCTGTCGACTTATTGTAGAATCAGTCAGCCAGCTATTAACAGATGTCACTCATTTTGCTATAGCGAGCATGAGTTGTAGCTCAAATTCAGAGTAGCTCAGACGATCAGGAATCGGAAAATTATACGTTCGAATGCGTGAGGTCATTCGCCTTTTATTTTATCAGAGTATGTAAATAGTAACATTGTCTAGAAAGAAAGGAGGAGACTCTGCGTCTGTCATCACACAGAATGCACATTTGGACACCAATGACATAAAAATAGTTTAAGAAGAGGTGGATGCGTTTGTCCATAGCTGCAGAAAACATCTCACGAGTATAATTTTGTATCATAAAAAAATTGCTAGCGCACTACGTTTGCAGGTCATTAAATGTAAGTTTATCACACCCATTAAGAAAAGAATTTTATATACCAAGACAATTCTGATTTATCAAACGGACATCAACTTATGCTCCCTTTTGAAGTTTTTCCTCAATGTCGGTCACAGGTGCAATGCTGAAAATCAATAATCTTAAGAAACGTTTACAGCTTTACACAAACATGATTTTCACATCATTCTTTAAGCAAACGCTGTATCAGGCGGGTATTCATGTTGTCTGCTGTCTATAGGCGAAATGCACATCAGGTGTTTGCGTAATAAGTTGAAAAAATCTTAGATCGATTTTCGGTGTCTGTGTTATCGAGTTACAAATGGCATGCGTCTGCGGCACCGAATTAACCTAGAAGCCCCGTGATGCAGAATCATTACCAGTGGTCGAAGTTCATGCATAAAACGCCTCTGTTCTACAAAACATTTATTGATAAGTCAAACCAATTCCAGGATTTACTCTTTCTATACTCCGAGCGCCCCTGAACATGCGGCCAAGTCAGGTCGAACTTGTCTACAAAACCTGCACATTATTAGATCAGAAACTGTAGCTCTCATGAGCGGATCTCACGTTATCAGCTTACGCTCAGTGAAAATTACTTTCTTTAAAGGCAGAAAAACTTATGTGTCCATCAGAAATTCCATATCTACCGTCATAACGAAGCACTTACACACATTTTAAAGTTCACTGCTGATCATCTTTGAAGATTTCAGCTATATCAGATTCCATTAGTAGTTCGCACTTCAAAACAAAGATAAAAACATACTAACAACAATTGCGAAAGTCCGTCACTGTTAATAGTGCTATCTGCAAGTGAATTCCAAGGGAAATACTTTCAGATAAAAGAGACACCGGTTTAAAGGCTGCAGCAATAAATGTGATAACGTTATTATTAAATGCACCATTAGCAGTCAAAGCAATTTTAATCAGATACTGATATACTAACAGAAATTCCTTTTACTTGAAAGGCGTCAGCAATTTTCAACAGTAACCGGATAAATAAGTCGGTAAAATCGATTAGATTTTCAAGCTAGCAATTGCTTAGGTTGTCCGAACAAAAAACTCTTCGTCTGAGCTATGAACGGTAGAGCAGTATTCTGATATACGGAGAACTTTCACGTAATTAGGGAATACGTAGAAATTAAAGTACTTGCAATGAAAAACTTGATTTTGGAGAATTTTGGTAACTCTGTTTACTCAAAGATTGCCTTTTCCTTTGTAAGTTGTGAGTTTGCAACATTGTATTGTTATGGTAATAAATTTGCCCGAAACTTTAGTCCTTCCGATTGTGTTGAGCTGCGAGCAGGATTGAAAAAGTCCCGCTTTTACCGTTAATTTATATTGATACATTTCGCAACCACAGGAATCTCAGGAATGCTGTTCAGGTGTAAGTTTATAATAACTAAGTGAAACAACGAAAGACTTGTGGATTTTCACGCAGCAAGCCGTAGTAATTTAGAACGGTTACTCGGCAACTTCAGACAAACAGCAGTCTTAGAAAAATTAATTTGTTATACTTATCATTTGCTCTCTTGATGCCTTCAGTTTAACATTGATGCCAAACTCACTCTTAAAGATAGCAAATTTTCGTTACAAGCTCGTTGTCATAAGACAATAAACGACAAAATAACCCACATTTTTTACTGCCGTGTAACTTTTTCTGCAGGAGGAAATGCTAATTTCGCGCACGTAAACTTTTAACGTTTTTCGTTTATGGCAGAATTGAAAGTTCTTGCAAATTTTATTTTAGGTGTGAGTCTAACTTACGTGTACTTATATCTCCAAAATGAAATAGAGTATATCGCAAGGTCACGTGTCAGACAGTCAAATAGTAGCAAAGTAAGTTGTGCATAGTGAGTACATTAGCGCCTTTAAATTTAATTAATGGATCTTCCCCTGTTATTAGTAAAGAATAACCACTGGAGAAACAATTTAGACCTGGTGCGTCATAAATCTGTGAAAAATAATGAACTGTAAAAGTAGATAGATTGGTGACACAATGTATCGGGTGAGACAAGATAAAAATCTGTATTTGGAACAACCAGTATCTATTATACAACGCATTTGTTGTTTGAAATTTCTTTCAGATCTAACGCATAATAACTACAAAAAATTGACCGGAACCAAGGGAATTGCTAGAAATATAAAAGAAGACGTATCATTATAATTTTCATGGCGTTTGCAACAAGAAAGCTTTCCATAACTCACCGAATTACCTAGAGAAATTAATTAATCTTAGAGAAACAAGTTCTAGGAATATAAGAACGAAAGACTCGTAACTTAAGGTAGCAATATGACCTCGAAATGTAACACCAGTAAAATGTTTAGCAGAATTTTGTTTCTATACAGATTTAAGAAATTATAACGTTTCGACATTTTATTGATGCATTGTTAGTTAAATCAGTCAGTCAGTCTTGATCACTGCTCATCTTATGGGGTCGCGGGACTGCATCGATCGGAAGCGACTCCAACGTTTTCTGCCCTAGTCGAGCACCTGAACTTCGGCAGAAGAAAATAGGAACCTGGCGCACAGTCAATCGAGTTGTGAGGCTTAGGTCATTTTATCCTTTTAAAAAGTCCTTAGATCAACTCTATATCATCTTTAGCTGTTTCACCATTCTTTCCTGAAAAACTTCGTAAGTCGTGTCCAAGTTATTGCAGCTCTCATCTACTAATCTGGAAAAACAGAGGTGCACACAATGGATTTGTCAGATATCTGAGTTTGGGACGATGTAAAGAGGCACAAGCCTAAAGATTCGTATCAAAAATCGAATTTCAGCTTCTAATAATCACGATAAGTTTTTTTTAAGTAAATGGCTACTATTCACGACCAAAGGCATGCGCGGGGGATAAAAATCGACTTAAACATTGACAGTTTAGTTTTTGGATTCAGTTCTTCAACTCTGCTTTAGTCACAACGGTTCAGTATTGTCCATACCATAAAAGCTGGATATCAGCATGCATACAGCAGGCTGTCTGTGAACAGCACAATGCTCGTCCGAGTCTCCTTTAATGTACACCTAACTAATGAACTGTGCCTGTTGAAATCCAACGGATTCTGAATATTTTCGGAATAGTGTATTTGTATTCAAAACTCGATCGGTGTATGGTTACACAAATGATGGGATTCGTCACTGTGATAAAGAGTTTTTCTTACTGGGATAAATTAATCTATTTTCTCAATGTTAATATTTTGTCATTCGTAAAATTTTGTATTGGCATATATTTTAGCCCACATCTCGAGTGATTACTCTTTAAAATATTACATAAACTTCAGAAATTGAAACTGCGCCGAACTGTGGTTGAAAAATAATAATTTTTCATCGATTCACAATGGCATGGTGCTATTAAGTAATAGCGTGTTTAAACGATAGAACAGAAGATACTTTAAAGTAGCCAAAGAGCGATGCTATGGCTGGAATCCAGCCAAATTTTAATTCGGAAATGGAACCGTTACGCACCTTGAATTTGTTTCGAAACATGAACCCGGC